ATGAACAATATATAGTCATTTCTCTCTATATGTATCCTTACTGATCTTTAGTACCTGCTGATGGGGATGTGCACATGAATCTCAGGCTGTGATTTGAAGTTTGAACTGAATCTGGCTGTATTATTTCTGGCTGAACTTTAAAGAAAAAGTAACATGATGAAAGCAAAATTCAAAAATTATTTTATTTGAAAAAATGAAACGTAAGAACTTTATCTTTTACCAATGTGATTTTGTACAATTAGAGTCCAGAAGATCAGATGATGTAAAAGTTTAACCAAACTAATATTAGTTTCCTATTTTTATTCCTTTCCCAGTTAATTACTTGCTAGCATGACAAGAATTTGTTAACAAAATATATTGGTTTCCTCAAGTTCTTGTTGAACTCAAATGACACTGGAACTGGGACTAATTGGCAGTTTCAGCAGAGATGGATAAAAGAAAAATAGAAAATGCCAAAATTTTATCTCACCTCTAGAAACAACCTCTTGAGCTTTTGAGACAAGTAGCAGGGCCCTGAAAACATAATTACGTGGCTTGTAGTGCAAAGGGCTTGTGGATAGAAAAAGATTTATTTTTTTTTCTGTCAAGTCTATCAGTATTGGGTAAATGCAACTTAAGAAATGAAACAAAAAAGGAAAAACAGCTCTAGAGTATTGAGGAGCAATTAAAACACAATATTTGGAAGTTTTAGTATTCTAGCATAAATTTTATTCTTAGGGCTACTTCATTTTTCCCCTTACACATGCCAGTTGAGAACTAAACTGAATGAAGCTATAGTGTTGTAGATGTACCCTGTACTGAAATATTTCAATTTTTTCCCTGGCAAAAAATATTCTCCAAAGGTATCATGAAGAAATTGATTTCTTACTTGTAGAGGAACATTGAAACTTTGTGCAGTCCTGCCATGGGATCTCATCCTAACCTAGCTTCTTTAAGAAATGCCATGTCCTTCAGAAGCAGATACTTAGAGCAGCACATGTACTACCTGATAAATCAGCATCAGTGTGTTCCCCAATGACAGACAACCCTCTATCACGAGCACATCTTAACTGCTTTAAATACACACACACACACACTCAAATCACTTTATATCACATTAAAAATATGTAAATAAATAAATATTGTAAATCTTATAAATGCATTAATTATAATAACAATTAATTACCAATTTAACAATATTAAATTAATTATAAATATGATGAATCTTACAAATAAATAAATAAAATAAAAATATTTTTCTAAACTGATGACCTTCAAACAAAAATTAAAATTATTGGGTCCCACATGGAGGAAAAAAATCAGGATGCTGAATTAACAAAAATAATTTATTTTTCTAAAACTAGAAAAAAATGCTAGTTTCAGTAATTCCTTTTCTTAAAAACACCTTAAGTTCTGTGCTACACCAATGATAAATTTTAGCAGAAATATTCAATTTGAAAGATGAAATTTACACTTGTCTTTAACTTGTAAATATTTCCTTGATTAAATATTGCATAGTCAATGACATTACAGATATGACTCATAAAATGCCCTTCGTAAGTAATACCAAAATATTAAAGCTTAAAGTTATGAACTGCATAAATCAAACATTTTTCACTTGTAACTTTGTTTGCTTACAATTTAATTTACTTTATGCTACATACAGGACTTCCTAGAAGTAAACTAAACACAGTAATTATAAAATGAAGGGCTATGATTTTTAGTAATTACTGACTTTGTGCTGATTTGTGGGGAAGAGGCTGGAAAGTAATGTTAATGTGATTCAAATTTCTCGGATGTATCTGTTGCTGTGGTCCATGGTAAAAATGCTGTACATATACCAAAGTTGGAGAAAATTCTTCCTGAGTGCTGTTTGAGCAGGTGTCATGGCCACCTGGATCCAAACTCATCTGTACAGGCTTGTAGTGTTAAACAGGCTGTACTTTTGAGTCAGCAGTAGAACATGTATCTCAGCCAAAGATTCTTGTTACTCTGGAAGTACCTAGGTTTTTTTGTAGGTTTTCCAAGTCTCTTGTTTGTGAGCAGATGGGCATCTTCTCCTTACCTATCCTGTTTTGTCTGCATGCAGAGGTGTGATTACTAATTGTGTAAGGAGACAGAAAAGAATTACATTTTTCTGTGAATTAATAGGTTCTCATATCTTGGTATATTCTCCTAAGGACTTAGAAGGTAGTGAACATTGCCTATATGGTATGAACTATTTCAGGCTTATCTCCTGTCTTCCTAAAACATCTCCACAATCTCACTAGATGAAACTAGAGATGTGAATGTACTGCTTACAATCAATTATGTTCCATTCATGTTGATTATGTAATTCAGACCAAAAAAAATTAATTTCATTACCAGTGTTCTGGGTTATGCAGTACTCCCATGATCCCTTTCTCAGCTTGAGAATAAGCAATGAATTTTCCCTCACATGGCATAAAAACTGTACTTGTTTTCCAAAATTATTTCAGACTGAAGGGTTTTCTCATACTGTATACAAGTTTTGTCTAAGATAAAGAAATTCTTTTTGGAAGATACCTGGGCATTCAGGTGGGAATGTCCAGGTACCTTCCAAAAAAGGAAGAACCAGAAAACTACAGGACAGCCAGACTCAGATCTGTGCAAGATAACGGAGTAGATCCTCCTGAAAACTATGCTAAGACATGCAGAGAATGAAGAGGTGATTTATTACAGCCAACATGGGTTCCTTATGGGCAACTTGTGCCTGAAGCATTTGGTGACCTCCTACAATGGTTTGCAGAGTTGGTGAGTCAGGGAAGAGTGATGACTGATATCTACTTGTCTGTGGCCCTGAGACCAGCAATATCACTGCCTTGTTCTCTGTTTCACTACTCACTGAGCCTGCAACTATGAAATCTTTAGCCACGTTCTCAGCTTGGGCACAGAGCACAGCCCCTGGAATGTGGGACTGGGTTCCTTCCTCCAGGCTGGAGAGGTCCTGGACTGAATCACCAGGAGGAAGAGGTCACATTATTTTACACCACTTAACACTTAATTTCATCCCAATACAGAATTACATACATTTGGAGTTTCAAAGCAAGTAACAGTGAAGCAGGGAGACCCCTTTTTGTAATCTCTCAAATGAAGGATTTTTGATTTGTGACTGTATGTTTATCTGACATCTAGCAAAAAGAAAAGCCATCATAAGCATTGGGTTTTAGATAACTTCATAATATTGTATTAAAATGCACCTTCTTTTGATTATGTGTTCTTATGATCAGGCACACTTTTGATAAAAAAATACATGAAAATTTATAAATTTAAAATATCCTGTGCAAAGGTTTACATTAATACAAGCACTATTTTAAGGTTAAAGAAAAAAGTTTTAGAACCGACTTTATGTTGTAGAAGGGATTGTAGAGCTTATTCCTACAGTTTCTAAAATGCTGTATTTTATGTAAAAATTCGGTTAGGAAGTTAGCAATCTGAACAAAGGCTTTCACTGTAATTTCTAGTTATTTCTTAAATAACATACTGTTAATTTGTATTTTGATTGCATTTTCTGTACTTACCTCTTTCAGGTCAGAAGCGTTAAACTGCTATCCATTTCTTCACAATTAGAACAGAAAACACTAATTAACAAGACATCCCTTTTTTTTGACCTTAGGGATAATTTTCCTTCCTCCCCCAAGACTTCTCATACAAATTTACCCTGAAATTATAGGTTTAACTGTATTTCCACACATCCACAAGTCTTTGAATTGAGAGTGTAGTGGTATTTTTGCAAGAATTGGCAAAGCCCCTCAATGTACAGAGTAGATATGGGAAAAAATGATGTTTGGTTTAGGTTTATTCATTTTTGGACAGATTCTATGCCACTTTATATGTGGTATTTCTAATGAAAATAATGGAATGTCAGTTGGAGTTCTCTGAGTAGTTTAGCAAGTGATGGTTAAAAATGAGGAAAACGTAAGGTACAGCAAATTACCAGTATTATAAAACATGAAAAAATATACCATCACAATACCATATTTATCTGTATATTATTGTCACTAAACTTCTTTATAGCATTTATGGGGGTAGGACAATGTATTTCCCAATAATTGAAAGAGGCCAGATGCAAACTCAAGTCACACAGGGATCTCACTATTTTATAAATTGTATTAGTTTTCCTTTAATAAACATGTCTGATTTCAAAGGGGGAAATAGATTATACAATATAGACACAATTCCTTTTTTCCTTACCTTTAAAGATCTATTACAAGTCAGAGTAAAGAACATCACACTGTCCAGGATTTTATCTGTAGAATCCTGTTTGGACAAGCTTTAACTTGTATTTCCTTATTGCTCAATTCACACTGAGTTCTCTTCCTCAAAGGCTGCATAAAATTTCGTTATCATCTTTGAAGATCCTTCAAAGCTTAGTGATGTCCAAATCTGTCTGGCATTCCTCTCCTTATTATTTTCTGGATATCTTGCTTGATATAGGACATTCTCATCAGTGCAGAAGTGTAGTGAAATTAAATAAGATTTTTCTTAACAAGTCTTTTAAATACTTGCCTAAAGGTACTCAGAATGCTTAGCACTGAAAGTATAAGTCTTGAACTTACATGTCTTATGTTTAAATGGAAATTCCTGTATTTCAGTTTTTCCTTTTCCTTGTGTGTTTTCACTGGGTAACATTGAGAAAAGTCTGGTTCCATTTTCTTTATTAGCTTTACCATGTGTTTATACACATTGATCAGCTCCCCCTGAGCTTTCTCTTCCCTGGGGAAAATGACCTCAGATGTCTATCGCTGTACATCACATGTTCCAGTCCTTTAATCATCTTCTTGTCCCTTCACTGGACTTACTTGCAGATACAACATATCTGTGTCTCTTCCACTGGGGAGCCCATAGCTTGAATCAGCATTCTACATGGATGTCACCAGGACTGGGAAGAGGGAAAGGATTGCCTTCCTTGCCCTGCTGAAAGTGTTGTCTGCCTAATATCCCCCAGGTGCTATTTATTGCCCTTCTTGGGCTGCAGAGGCACAGCATTGGCTCACCTGCAATTTGTTCATAGGTATCCTCAGGTCCTTTTCTGAAAAACTGTTTTGGTGCTTCAGCTGATTGTTCCCCAGCATGTGCTTGTCCGGGGAGTTCTTCCTCCCTAGGTGTAGGACGTAGCATTTACCTTAGCTGAATTATATGAAGTTCCTGTTTACCCTTTGCTCCATCTTGTTGAGGTCCCTTTGAATAGCAGCACAACCATCTTGTTTATCAGATCCCCTTCCCAATTTTGTAAAAGTACAGACTGCGCAGACCTGTCTTCGAAAAATAGTAGGTAGGTTATTGGTAAAAATTAGGGACCACAACAACAAAGGAAACCTTATGGTTGGTGTTTACTGCAGGCTGCCTGATCGAGGACAGCCTGTTGATGAAGTGTTTTTAATTCTATTATAGGACATATCATGCTGACAGGCTCTGATCTTGCTGAGGGAATTCAATCAACCTGACATCTCTTGTAAAAGGGGAGCAGCAAGGAGTCCAGATTTGGTGAGTGACAAGGATAATTTCTTAATCCAGATGATAGCCTTATGAGGGAAGTGTCACTGACCTGTTGCATTCCAATATGGATACAATAATTAGAAATTTCAAGATTGGTGACAGCTTGGACTGCAGTATTCATGCCCTCATGGAATTCACTATCTTGAGAGCTATAGGCAGGTTGAAGACTAGAGACAGGACACTGGATTTTAGGAGATAAAACTTTCAGTTATTTAAGAGACCCCCCAGCTGGGAAGCTGCACTCAGAGGAAAAGAAGTTGAACAGAGCTGGTGTAGAAGCCCAGAAGATAAGAGGTAATGTGTGTGTCTCAAACACTGATAGCCAACTAACCATTGAGACAACCAAGGATTGCTAGTAAGAAGAGTATGTAGCTGGAGAAGGGGCCCACATGGAGATAGGGTAGCACTTTTCTGGGACAAACATCCTTTATGTCTCCTGGAGATAAGCACAACACAGTACAGTGCAAGTGTGGGAATGAGGTCAAGAGTGCAAAGATTGTCAGTGACAGACTGTCAACCAAAGGCTGACCACTGTTTGGGTGCTGACCCAAAGGGGGATCAGCACCACCAAGGACTCCCAAAGTCCTTGCACCTGTTTTCAGGCTGGTCTACAAGAACTAACTGTGCAATTAAGAAGAATTAACTGGTAATTAATTTGCACTGAAATTGAGCAATTTAGCTGCAGGGCAGAGAAACTTTTCTACGAAAAGGTACCTCCACAGCGTCTGGGTGGCATGCCTAAAAACACCATCAGTTGGACTAATGCTGGAGTCAGGACTGGTGATTTTTATTTCTTTCTTTCTTTCTGTCTCCCACTCTCTCTCACTTCATTCACTCTACCCTTTATTCTAAATCCACCACTGTGTGACTGTAAACGACTTTCAGCAGAGAGAAGCCCTTATGCACCAACCCCAGTCTCCTGCACCTCACCAAAGGAACTGCAGCAAAACCAAGGAAATCAAGACTGAGAAGTGGGGAGGAAACGTGTTTGTCTATGCTGACCCTGGAGAAGAGACACAAGATGCATTTCCTTAAATGCTTACTTTTATTTTTTATATTTTTTTAGTACCTAAATCTGTATTCAAAAGATTATGCTAAATGAAAATAAACTAAATTAAAAGAAAAAAAAAATGTAATTTCTTTTTAAAGACTGCTTTGCCTGTAAAAGTCTTCTGTTTGGTCTTAGCTGCGGTGTCAAGTTTGCCTGTGGCAGAGCATGGAGCTTGGCAGTGCAATGGTAAACAAAAATTCCCTCCTGCATGGGAGCTGGGGACCTCTTCCCATATATCCCCCTCTACTTTGTCATGCTGTACACTGCCATTAGGATTTAGGTGCTGGATTGCTGCTGTTCTATGCAAGACAGGCATTTGATGTCTGATGCTACCGTGCCCTCCTGTCAAAGGAATAGTCCAGCACCCCACAGCAGGACTTCTTTCCTAATCTGTGCTAAGGACAGACACCTGCTTATGCTGTCCTACCACTGCTGCCATCACTGTCAAATATGGGAAATAAGGAGGAATTGAGGTGAGATTTAGTGAGTGTAAATTGTATCTATGTTCTTGGCACACAAAGGAAGAAGGGGAATCTCAAGTTTAGTGACACTGAGAATGGCACAGAGAGAGAGGGAAGATGCCTGAGGGAGGATGACTGCCATCACTGCATCTTGACAGTCTCCCAGGGCAATTCAGAGGAAAATAAAGAAAGGAAAAAAATAATCAGCTGATGGATTATGTCTGCTTAGCAAGCAGCTACAGCATGGAGTAGGGTGCTACCGCAAAGGGCACATGGGGTGGTAATAGCACAGTCGCACATTCACATTCCCTGAACAAGACAGATCCTGTCAGGACTCCACACATGGCCACACACGCAATTAGTGCAGCTTTTATTGCCAAATGTTATTTCATTTATGGAGCATTACCTGGAGGATCTTGCCACCCTTGCTCTTTTCTTGCATTTCCCATGAACCCAGTTCAACCTGGGCACACTCAAAAGAAATGCTAAACCATGAACTTTCTATGCCCTTCTCCTTATCCTTCCTGACACAGACCTATTTTCTCTGCTGAGACTCTCTGAGGCCCTGCAGAAATCTGGAATATGCACCATTTCTAATCCAGCCCTAACTGAATTTGATAGAAAACATATTTAATCAATTACTCTATGGACACAAAATGCATGCTTTTATTTGACATTCAGGGTAAAAACAAGCAGTGTTTAGCTCCTCTCCTAGGACACACTTATGGATCAGGTGATGCAGTTGGCAGGAATACTTCTTCAAAATCTCATCACAGCTCCTCTGGGGCACTAGGTATCTTTACTGTGGAAGGTACAATTGTACCATGCCAGCTGTGCAGCATGATGAGCTCACAGAAACCCTGTCCTGTAACTTTTGCACTGGCAGGGCAGCAGCATGGCACAAAGAACACACAGCAGTCTGGTCAGCACCTTCCCATATAAACCAGGCTACCAAGAGCTAGGGAGGAAGATTCATGGGTATTAATTCATTGCACACTAAACATGACCCAAATTCATACCACCTCTTCCTTCCCTCATCTCACTCCTGTTTCTATTTAGATGTTCTGGTTGTTACACTTGAGTCCAGGGCACTACCATACCACAACTTTGAACACAGTCATTAAGTTATTAGGGAAATTTTATTGCGAATTCTCTTTTTTTTTCCCCAACTTCTACAATGGGTCCAACTCAGACCTGTTCAAACATGGCCCTGTACCTGGGCTTCTGAGGAATTGTGGTTAATAGGAATGATACAACAGGAGATTGTGCACTATGCTGTATGTCTCCACATCCTAGAAAGGACTTCACTGATAGGTCTCTTGATAAGGTCTGGAAAGCATCTAGGAAAGCACAGAGGCTGTCTTGCCTGAGGACAGCCATCAGCAGAGGTTTGAAGTCCTTTCATTTAGAACCATAGGCTGATCCAAAGCAACCCTCATCCTGCCTTCTTGCAGAGGGCTATCCGCTTCACCCACATGCACGAGTGGGTCAAGTAATAAAGGAACAAGGAGGACCTGCAGGTCTTGACCATTTAATCTACTGGAAGTAAGCCTTCTCTTACAGTAGTATTGTTTCCTGCAGCTCTACATTTTCCATTTCCTCCACAGCGCCTGTGGTGCAAGGACTGTGAAGCAACACAGCACCTTTTTATTTATTTAGTTAATTATTCTGCCCTGAGAGTTCCCCTCTGCTTTGTATCTGTTTTTCTTTCCTCTTAAATACATCTCTGAACAGTAAAGTTCCGTACAGTAAATTTCATAATAGGTTTATGTTTTCTGCTAATGTTGTTGCCTGGTGACTAAAGGATTTTTAAGTGCCCATGTAGACAGCATGAGTACAGAGGAGAATGCAATATTGGGAAAGAATAACCAATATGACTAGAGTTTATGAAACCCTAAGTGTGATCTGACTGTGATAAGGGGATGAATTCTTGTGAAAATATCTTCCTGTGTAGAGCATGAAGAAGAAAAGAACAAAGATATAACTGAAAAAGAGCAAAGAAATAGCAAAGACAGAAAGGACACCTGAAAACAAGACATGAAGCTGCATCTCCCAGGAAGAAGGAGGAGCTGTGACAAGTGACAACTTGTGCAGCAAGACAGGACAAACAGACAAAGAGATGGAGAGAGGAAGGTAGGGATAAATACAGTTGATCAGCAAAGGAGAAGGAGAGGAAAACCAGATCTATTTTTAGCTGCTGTTACAGTACAAAAAAAAGCCACAGTGTTTGTTGCTCAAATGAAACTGGCCTCCAGGCAGACAGGCACAGATGGTCTCACACACTTCTCTGTAAGGGCATCCTATGGGGTCAAGGTTGGGCACCAAGGCATTGAAGGACCTGATTTGAGTCTGACTGCTCCTGCTAGAGCAGATGACTGCTCTTTGTTCAAGCTGCATGAGGCACATAGGGCAGGCATGGCACTGTGGCACTGAGCTCTGGTGTCAGGCTGTGCATGTTCACTGCTGAGCAGCCAGCTGGCTGAATATCTCCTGTGAGATCCTGCAGGAGGGTGGCAAGGCCCAGCTGAAGGGAACATATGGCCCATCGTTGTTACCAAGTGCCCACATCATCCACAATCGCATCAAGCAAAGCATTATCTGCCAAGATGTGGCACTTGAATCTCCTCCAGGAGGCCCTTTTTTTAAAGGGTAACTTTGAACTACATGAATGTCACAATCCCTACCAAGGGTTTTACACTATGTAGTGCCCACTTTTCCCTTGGAGATTCATGTTAGAAAACCCTTTAGCAGTCTTAGATTTGTTTAGATCAATTTGATGCCTCCTTTTTCAAGGAATGCTTTTTACTTTTTATTAAAGGAATGCATTCTTTCAAACCTGGAAGGCACTTTGTTGAGATCTGATTTCAGGTTGTATTCTAAATTTATCTATCCCTCTTCCATAAGTTTCTTTTGTGTTCCTCTCTGGTACAGCTACATGTTAAAAAAAAATAAAAATGCACACTGACACTGAAAAGTCTTGAGTGCCAGTCAGGTCTTTTGGTATATAGTACATCTTTTTCCTAAAACAATTATTAGGTAAAGGATTTACTAGAGTGTTTTGTCCTCTAGAAAGAATCATGATGCATTATTCTTCCATATTGCATTTCTAGTGATTAACTTGTTGGTTGTTTTGATATATCTAATCTGTTTGTAGTCAGAGAGAGAATCTAATAAATCAAATAAAGTTGCTGGGGAGATACATAGGTGATGCATCTTCCTTGAAAAGACTGAAGTGTTTTTCCATCATGACTGTATTTTGTGCTTTCTATTTAGTCATCTGCATATCCAAATTAATTATCTTCTTCTGTAATGCTGAAACTAATTTAGTTTGAAGGTTCTTCCATCTTTTCAATTTCAGCTATTTATGCCCCATAATGCATTTCTATCTTCATTTTTTGCTTACTGGTAATAGGGCTTCTGTAGAAACCTTTATTCATATCAGTATGCTGCAAGCATTCTCTAATAGGATTCATCTTACTGAGTATTACAATTCAGAACTTGATTGACTAGGATGAAGGTAGTTAGAATAACTGTTAAAAATGATAGTTTACTTTTTCAGTATTAGACACAGATTTTAGGTTGAGGCAAATCCTCTATATCCTTTCACTGACTCTAAAAAAACTTTAGAGGGGTCAACTGAGATTCATGTACATAATGTTCAGAAAAACAGTAAAATGAACAACAGGATATTTTCCACTGAGATTTACATACATGAAAATCTTGTCTAGGATTTTTATTGACTATGCTGACTTAAAATTTTTCAGTCCTGGAATTTTCTTGCCTATAGTATGTAACAATACAGACCAAAATTATAGCTTGCCTATACAAACAATTTTTATATGATGGTGTAAATTTGTTCCTATAGTTCTTCTCATATATGCTTTCTACTTATATTCTAGTGTCAATTTTGACTATTTTGGGGTGTCTGCTTAAGATGCAATGAGATAAGTTTATATGTTCCATTGCTTTCCTTTGCCTTATTTTGCATTGCATGAACACTGCCACAAAACAACAGAATCATCCTGCTAAAACAAGTACAATCTTCCATCTTTCTCTGTAGATTTTTAAAGGGATATATTAAGTTGACAAGTACTGCCTCTTATAAATGCAGAAGCCCATTTGAAACAGGACAAAAGTGCTCAAATGCTTGATCTTACACCATGTAAGGACACCATGTAACTATCCTTCCTGTTCTTTCATTTGCCTTGTATGGATTATTCATAATACCTATTTTTGATGCTTTGCTTTTTCAGGGTAGATATCCACTTTTTATATCAAGATTCTCTTTATCCAGAATATTGCTCTGTTGCTGTGTATGGCAACATGTAATTTTGTGTATAATGCAAACTGTTCTACTTCCTTTGCTGTCCATTTCTCTTTTACAGGCTGCTTTAATGGCATAAAACCATGGCCAAGCTGATTCAAAATAAATTTTCTTAACTATCAGAGGCACACAACTCAGTAGCATAGCAGTCTGTTACAGGTTTGCCTGGCTTCAGGTTATCAACCTTT